CAGGTCTCCCACCCCCACCTCACCACCAATTTGGATCGCTTGTTGTCCCCTTGTCCCTGGGTTTGTTAAAATGTTATTATTTTCATATCTTACACTGTGTGCTGTCTCCCTTCACCCACGTTTCTGTTGTTTGTCCCCCTCAAGGGCGGGGTGTGTGTGTGTGTGTGTGTGTGTGTGTGTGCAGTGCAGCTGATACGTCAATCATTACAATCCGTTCCCCATTTCTCCCTCTTCTCTCCTCACCTTCCTCCTCCCCTCCTGGTTTCGATACTCCCATTATTGTTCCTGAGGTGCTTATCTGTCTTGGATTCCTTGTGTCCAGAGCTCTTATCTGTACCAATGTACCGGTCTAGCCAGATCTGTAAGGTAGAACCAGGGTCATGATAGTGGGGGAGGGTGGGGGAGGAAGCATTAAAGAACTAGAGGAATGTTGTGTGTTTCATACTGCATCCTGACTGGCTTGTCCCTTCCTTGTGACTCTTCTGTGAGGGGATGTCCAATTGTCTACAGATGGGCTTTGGGTCTCCACTCCGACTCCTCTTGTTCGCATGGATATGGTTGTTTGTTTGTGGTCTTCTGGTGCCTGATACCTGCTCCCATCAACACCTCATGATCACACAGGCTGGTTGCTCCTTCCATGTGGATTTTGTTGCTTCCCTGCTAGATGACCACTTGTTTAACTTCAAGCATGTAAGGCCCCAGATGCTATATCTTCTAATAGCCAGGTACCATCAGCTTTCATCACTACATTTGCATATGCACCCATTTTGTCTTCAGTGAGTGTGTTGGGAAGGTGAGGATCACAGAATGCCAGTTTATTAGAACAAAGTGTTCTTGTGTTGAGGGAGGATTTGAGTAGAGGCCCAATGTCCAACTGCCACCTTGATACTTAACATATGTACATAAATCTATGCCCATATCATTATAAATATATTTATACATATACATGCCTGTATTTATAGCTCTATAAATGTCTTTTGCCTCCTAGTTCTTTCCTCTATTTTCTTTTACTTTCCTCCTCTCCCACTATCATGTTCAACCTTCATCCAGCTCTCTGTACTTCCTCTCGGCTACATTGCACTTGATCAAACCCCACCAGGTATTCTATACCCTCCTCTGAAGGTATAGAGAGGAGAGAGGAGAGACAGGGGCCTACTCTATGCAGCCCCTCAACCATGCGGATAGGTTACTCGTGTACCTACCGGCACACCAAGGAAGTAGATGGTCTTCCTTCTAGCTGACGGGGGTGCAGTAGAAGGTCAGAGAGGCTGGATCATTGTGTCCCGTTGCCCAGAGCTCTTGACCTGTCTGTCAAGCTCCGTAGCTGCCTGTACGGGGGAGGGGAGCAAGCGTGGTTAGGAGAGAGCCGGACATGAATTGCCTGAGCGGTGTAGAGGGAGAGGTCAGTGCTGCTGTGTCAATAGGGAACCCCCTGTAAGGAGGGGAGGGGTCCAGCCACCATGCAGCAGGAGGAAGCACCCCATCCTGGGCATCTCGAAACCCGAGCCCCGACTCCAGGACTCCATCGGCTCCAGCTCGGTGGGCGGGGGGCTCGGGGGGCTTGGCTACAGTGGGCCTTCTCAGGCGCTGCCAGATCGCTGTACAGCCTCAGCCAGGGAGGGCTGTACCAACAGCACAAAGCCGTGTGTTCTGCACAGGCAGCTGACCTGCTCCCCCTGTCACCTGCCTCCCCACCTGCTCTTTCGCCCTGTGTCTCCTGCCACCCTACTCCTGCACGTGCATCCCAGCCCCAGCCTCATCCAGGGGGTGCCAACAAGGAGGTCTTCCAGCCATGCCCCTCTGCCAGGTGTGCTGGCCCTCACCTGAATTTTCTTTTCATTGTCATTCTGGGGTGGACTTTCTGCTTCCCACGTGGGATAGCCCCACTCAATGCCCACCTCATGTGGCAGCCACCACCTGTCCAACATGTAGTGAGGATGCTGAATGAGGTTCAGCAGTGCTTTCGGACTAAGGTAGACCAGGAAGAAAGGCCTGGAGATCTACCGCTGAAAAGTCAGCCAATGAAAACCCCCTGGACCACGTGGCCAGAGCCACAGGCACCCATGGGGATGGTGTGGGTTCAGGCAGCATTTCTGTCTGTGGGGCTCGGATGGTCACAAGGCTGTTACAGGCCAGCCAAGGTGCAAACCATGATGGTGCCGTGTGAAAACCTGCATTGCTCATACCTTTTGAAAATCAGGGCGCTTGACCAGTAGCAGATGACCGTTCTCTAAAGGATTTGGAGTGGAGGAGCCCCAGGGAAGGTGTTTTCCAGTCTTCCCAGTGCCCACCCACCTCGTGGGACCCAGGAGACCCACATGTAGGCTGCTCCCTCGCTCTGCTGGCCCCAGTGTTTCTAGGGGACTCCCTGCCTAGCCAGTCTCTGGTGTTTTTGCTGCTGGGAGCATGGAGTGGGCCAAGCCTGTGCCACACAGGCACGAAGCCGCAGGCTGCCTCTGCAAAGTCAGGGCTCAGCCCCACTCTGCTCCGAATGCTGGCCAGCATTCTGGGACACAGCCACCACCAGCCTCTGGGCCAGACTGAACCCACAGTGGGAACCCCGGGGTGAGGACCAAGGAGCAGAGAAGGCAGGGTGTCTGACCATGGCTCCCCTGGCCCCAGGTCTACATCACAGTGCTGGATGAGAATGACAATAGCCCCCGGTTCGACTTCACCTCTGACTCAGCGGTCTCTGTGCCTGAGGACTGCCCCGTGGGCCAGCAAGTGGCCACTGTGAAGGCCCGGGACCCCGACGCCGGCAGCAACGGGCAGGTAGGCATGAAATGGAATAGCCCAGCTCCTTCTTGTGACTAGGAGGCCTCCCACCACCCCTCAGCTGGACGGGTCATCCAAGCCAGGCTTCTGTGCCCAGGCAGAAGGGGAAGATCCTCCAGGTGTGCCCCTGCCCCCCAAGCAGGACTTCCCTGCACATACCCCTTTCTGCAGAGCAGCCTCCTAGGGTCGTGCAGGCAGAGGCCCAGCCAGGGACAGCTCCTGGAGGCTTGGTGCCCCGCTGAGCAAGGTGCATCCTGGAAGCTGATGCTTCTTGGGAACGCCTGGCCACAAACCAGAGGGCATATCACACCTGTTGTACCCACCTCACACAACCCCAAGTCCAGGTGATGACTGGTACATACGCGCAAGGCGCTCAGCACCCCTTTCCTCTACGGGAAGGACGTGGGTTCACATCCTCCTCCTCTCTGGCACTAGCCAGTCACACACCCTGCCTGGGGCCACCTCTCGCTGAGCTAAGGGTGGTAGTTGGTCCTTGGATGGGCCTGTGTCCGGCACAGTCACCCAGTGGGAGGGACATAAACCACTTCTGCATAAAGTGCTGTTCTCAAGTGCCCTTGCCGAGCAGAGGGCCCAGGTGGGCAGCAGGGGACCAGGAGTCCCCTTGGCTAACCTGGCTGCCTCTCTCCTCCTGACAGGTGGTCTTCTCCCTGGCCTCCGGCAATGTGGCCAGGACCTTTGAAATTCTCACATTCAACGATTCCATTGGTGAAGTGTTTGTGGCCAGGCCCCTGGACAGAGAAGAACTGGACCACTACATCCTCAAGGTATGCCCTGACGGCCATCAGGGAGGGCTCTGCCATTGACGGG